TAGCTAGAGAATGAAAGAATTTTGTGTTGCCATCTCCTTCCGTAATCCACTTACATCTAGACTTCTGCCTCCAAGAGATTTCTTCTATTCTTAACAATCCTTCCAGGTCAATCTTTAGATTCCTTCTCTCCGCTTTTTCCACTCCACTAAAATCTCTTAAGGCTTCATTATTATCCAATTCCACAATCCTTAAAGAAATTCTTTTCTTTGTTTCTTCCACTCGGCACTCGCCCAAATTGTTCTTTGTTCCAAGCCTTAATTTTCTCTTTCAACTTTTTTTAAGAATCTAGAGAACCTTAATCCCTTTTTCGTACCACTACGCTTGACTTATCCCCACCAGATCTTAACCTTTTCTACAAAAGTTGGATCCTCCACATGTTTTCAAATCTGAAATGCGAGGGACCATCATAGGGCAAATCCTAAGCTAGGCTAATAGTGCAATGGTCAAAGGTTACTCTAGACAAGTCTCAAGAGGCTAAACATTCCTGCATCTCTTCCCAATCTATGAAAACAGGAACCAGTCCAGTTTGGAACAAGTCAAAGACTCTTGAAAATTCGACCAAGTATACTCTGCTACTAACAATGGGAGATCCTTCAATTCAAAGTCATCCACAAAGGCATTGAAATTTTTCATGCTTGTGGTTATCCTTTGATTAGATTAGTCAGTTTCTGAAGTAAACCTATGACATTAAAATCACCTCCCAAACACCAACACCCCTCCCATAAGCTTCTAAGTGCCCCCAACTCTTCCCATAAAAGATTTCTTTATAAGAATTTAGCCTATAAGCATTCGTCTAAGCCCATTCCCTTCCATCATTGGGTTTCCTTATCTTTATTAAGATAGATAATTGTCCCACCAACTCTTCCAAACATTCCAACTCCTCATTTTTCCAAATGGTGAGAATTCCTCCGGATGCACCACAAGAAGGTACGAACGACCAACTCAAACCTCTAATTTCCCATATACTTCTAATCCATTTTCTGTTAACCTCTAAGAGTTTTATTTCTTGAATCAATACCAAATCCAACTTCTCCTTTCTAAGAGTATCCTTTATTAACCTCCTCTTGGTTGCACTCCCTAATCCCCTCAAATTCTAGCTGATTATCTTCATTCTTAAGCTAGACAGCCCTTATCACTTAGGCTAATGTCCCTTGCCTCTCCTTTCTTTTCTCCTATTTTCTTCCCTACCATACATTATTTCACTCATCAATTTCTCCACTTCACTCTTCCTTTTCTTCACTTTATCAGAACATTATCCTTCCTCAAGTACACTTTTACCCTCTCAAGCTTTTAACAATAGCCTTCCTTCTTCTTTCTTAAGCTCATCTTTTGTTCTGCAAGCTTATTCTTATCCTCCAATCAATCAACTCCTTTTCCATTAGAGTTTCCAATGCATACATTTTCCGGTTCCTGCAATTTTTTACTCATATTTTCAGTTCCAACGTTCTCATATCATCCTCAAACACCATGATTGTTAGGTTGTCCAAAATCATTACACAATTTCTCTCCACCTCATCTTTTTCACCATTCTCTTTTGTATCTATCAAGAGAACAGGCAATTGGTCATTTGTATCTTAGCAAGCACAAGACCCTGAACAAGAGATGGATCTACAAAAACATGGGAGAACACACAAGGAGGTGTACAATTAGTAGCAACAACAAAAGCTACAACAGAAAAGGGAACAGAAGAAGGAACAACTGATGGGTTTGAAACTCCCTGTTCTAATCTTTCACTAGCCAATCCATTTACAAACTTGGACCGGTCTACCATCTGGTCAGGTAAACTCTGTTCAGCTCCTTGTGGCCTTTGCTTAGCAAACTTCCTCGCCCTGCACTGAGTTGGTGCCTTCCATCCCATCTTGCTTCTCTTGTACCTGGCTCTGGATTGGTTGGTCCACTTAATCTTTTTCTGGCACAACCGAAACCATCTTGCAATCAGTAAAGGACTCTGCAGAGCCAAGAGGTTCTAGTTGCACTGCTTCTTCGTAGGACTACTCAAACAGTATCTCTGTTCTCCAGTCTTCATCCTCCAACATTCTACATGCCTTGGTAGAATCAATTTTTCCAAGGCTTGAGGACTAATTAACTTCTACACCCCCTTCAAAATGGAAGTTTTCCCTGCCAATGTTTGAATCGGATTCCTCTTTCTCACCTGTATTAAACTTTGGATTAGGCCTATCTAGTGTAGCGGACCGCTCTTCAAAAACCGGCACCCAAACCATTTTTCCCCTTTTCAGCAATCGGTAGTCCTCACCCAAGGTGTAGCTACAGAAGTTCTCTTGTTCAAATAGGTTCCAGAGAATTGATTTTCATTTGTAAGAGTGTGGCCTTTGACTTATTAAAGAGTCACATGCCCTCATTAGACAATGGCGACTTGAACCGAACTGACTCAGGTTAGCTCACAACCCAACCCCAGTCTGGCCACTCAACCAGCCAGCTTCTTCAACTTCTACAGGTTTTTTGTTCCACACAGCATCTCCTCTTGACACCACATCTGCAAAAGTCCTCCCCACCATCCGATCTAGATCTATTGTTTTTGAATAACTTTCTTCCTCTTTTGACCGCCTGATATGACCTATTCTCTTCGCAATGTGGCACCATTCCTATTTTGTCTCACCACCACACGTCAACCACCCTTCCACGTCCTCTTCATCTCTTCCTTCTTTCTCCTACCTCTCCACAACGTCACTTTGGCTTCCGAAGCTACCCAAAAACAACACCAGTAGCCTCTCRTGAGCATTTTCAAGGTTCTTGGTATCGTTTCTGGCTTTACTCCAAGCAACCTGAGTTTTGCAGCATGAACGATTGCTTAGATTAACCGCTTCCAGTACTCCACCCAAAATTTTTGTTATCTTGGCGAATGTGGTTTTTGTCTAGAGGTGAAACAACAGCCCTAATAACTTGATTATAATGGCACCATCCTTCTCTAAGACATAGTTGGACAGGGGTCACCAATTCCCAATCGTCACCCATCCTTCACTCATTTCCAATGTGGTAAACTCCATTTCCTTGTCCCCTATGTCCAAGATGGCTTTGTCTTTAGTAAATGGTCTTATTGTAGTTGTTTCTTTTACACACATCCTCTTCTCCAATTCTTTCAGAATTAATTTCCAGTCCGGATCTTTCAGTTCTTTCTTCATGGTTATCACAAGTTTTTGATCCTAGGCTTCTCTGAAACTTTCTAGAGACAAGCTTGGGATCACAAATGAGTACTGAAAGGAATCTACAGGGACAACAGACTCTTTTAACTTTGATTCAGTCAACTGCAACCCTGTTTCAGCATTATTTACAGGATTTTCTACATCTGTTTTTTCTTTTTCCCAACATTTTGTCTTGCACCGGTTCCTGTTCTTGACATTTTCGTTCACCTGTCGGAGATCCCCTGTTTTTCCAAGAACTGTTGAAGAGCATCAGCAACCAGCTTCTATTCAAAGCAATTTCTGGCTTCTGGAAAGCATACCAATCATTGTTTGCCATCTCCAAAGGATTCAAAAAGCATTACATATGCTCCTTTTTCTTATTTTCTTTTACTTCAACATAATAGCTTGTGTCTTCTTCCTTGTTGAACACCTTCCAGTTAATCTGTCTTCTCAAATGGATAGCACCTTCTAGAAACCCTTTGAACCAAAGGGCTGATTTCTCTTTCAATAGCATAGTTGCCTTCGAAACTTCAGTGAGTTTCAGCACCACACCTTGTTCTTATTTCATCCATGATCCATCACAAACCACTTGGCCTCCACTTGAAACTTACGTCAACAAGCAGCCTGGACGAAACTCTCCTCTCCTCCATCGCAACCGAAGTTCTCTTCTCTCACCATTTCACTAGACTTCACCGCATAGACCCAAAATTATATTCAGTGGAGTATGCCATTGAGATGGTCTTTCAAACTTACATACTAATAACATATAATACAATCAAGTAGATAAAAATCAATTAATTAATATCTGTACAATGGTTCTTTAACTCGAACATTAATAGATAATAAACACAAGATATCTTTAATAGGCTAACAAGAAGTGAAATAAGTCTTAAGTTGGGAGATTTTTTACAAAAAAAAAAAAAAACACTTTGGAAAAATACAAAAAGGGAATGACAAGATACAAAATTAGGTCCAAGTCAGGTTAACTTAAATTGCAAAAATTGGACAAGTCACAAGATTCAAACAACAATCACTAGAATTTTTCTCCTTCAAAAGAGTTCAATAGTAAGATTCAGATAAGAACCCTTGGAATTTGTAAATTGAATCATGGACTTTATCCTAAATCATAAGATTTTGAAAACTATAAACTTAAGGCATGCATTGGATTCTCTGCTGCATCAGAGGTAAATGAACAAAAACCCCACCTTCTTGCTTGGCATGTTACTCTCCTCTTTAACTTATTGCCTTGTCTTTTCTTATGACAGTCACATGATAGAGAGAAAGGCCCTAATCCGTGACCAACAAGAAAGCCTCTTGAGCTTGTCGGATCTCCATCTCCAACACACAAACTAGCGCTCTTATACATCTTTACATTAACCTCGTCAACTAACTTCAAAAGTCTATAGGCCACATAACACTGTCCAGCCTAAATGCCGTTCCTGAAAATCTACTCCCCTCGTTCCTTTTGGCTCATTGGTTCATCCATGCCTATCTAATAGTAGTACTAGATCTAAAATATTCACTAAAAGCAATAGAATAGTTAAACCGTGAAATCAACAAACATAAGAAAAAGAAAATATATGGTCTTCCTTACTCATCATCATTATCATCTAAGCGTCTCTCAACTATATGGGGTCGGCTACATGAATCCACTTTCGCCATACCTATCTTTCTCACTGATATATAGAAATTGAACACAAACAAATTCTACCAATGACAATTTGAATATTCTATAGGAGAACGTCGAATGGAATATGTATGTTGGAGGTTAGAAAACCAGGATGAGAAACACTTGTGATGTTAAAGACTAACAACTATTTATCTCTCCAGATACTGTACTGTATTTCAAGAGTTATTACCCATTGGCAACATTCCGTAAGTCCCAACCGGACAAATTGGCAGCTTCTTGGAGGCTTGTCTCCCACCTCAGCACCTTCATCGTCTCCAATGTGAATCGCTCTTTAAGTTTGGTAAAGCCTTTTCCAAAATCCCCAGTCTGCTTCCGAACATCCGAAGGATCAACGTCAAAGAAAACAGGCAGAACCTTCTGATCTATCTTTCTACGGCACTCCAAGATTCTCACCAGTTCATCCAGGCACCAACTCGAGGAAGCGTAGTTCCTCGAGAAAACGATAATTGAAATCCTTGATTCTTCGATTGCTTTCAATAGTTCTGACGAGATTTCTTCCCCTTTTCTTAGCTCCTCATCGTCCCTAAAAGTGTAAACCCCTTTCTGGACTAAAGCTGTGTAGAGATGATCGGTGAAGTTCTTGCGAGTGTCTTCACCTCTGAAACTCAGGAACACATCATAATTCCAACGAGAAGTTGAAGAAACTGATGAAGATGATCGGGTCCGTTTGGAAGAAGACCATGGATATGGTTCTCGGGTCCTCTTCGGCGTCTTCGCCATGGAAACACCAAACGGTCGACACTCGCCAAATGATTCAGAAACGTACCATCGGTGGGCTTAGTGCCACTTTCCTCCCCGAACTTTAAAATGCAACAATTGAGTATTGGAACTTTTAAAACATCACAATCCAGTAATTGTTAACAATTGTTAACCAGCATTTAAAAAACACAATGCCCACTCAAACATGACCCTAGCTTTTTTGAATGAAAAAGGCAAAGATTTGGGATTATTAATTTTTTGTCCATATTTAAATAGTTGATAAAGAAAATTAAATAACACTTGAAGGACATTTAAATAGCTAGTTAATAGTAGATATTAAATTATCATATTTTATGTTTGGGTATTGAATTGTCGCATTTTAAAGTTTGAGGATCAAAGTGGCACTAGGCCCAAGTACAAGGTATTAATCGAAAATTTTCCCAGTAATCTATTTGGAAGGTGTTTGGCGGGAGTTGGTACCAATATCATGCATTGCCCTACCCATTCTCGAACTTGCCTATGTATCTTTAATTCCAAATCCGTCTAACTTTTCTTCACAATTTCTCAAACCCGTCCCGACCCATCCCACCCGTTAAACCCCTTGACCAAAGGTTTTCTAATTAAAAAAAATTCTTAATGCTTATAGTGTGACTTGAACCCAAATCAATTAATGTTAGTGCCAAATCTCTTCTACTTTAAGCCACTAAGCCATCTCACCTTTTGTGTTATTTAATGAAATAAAATAGAGTTTACTAACTTTTGTGTTCATCAAAACAATCAATACATATATATGATTAACAATTCCAACTAAAAATTAAAAGAAATAATATTTAAATTTTAAATTTTATAACTAAATGAAATAAACAATCTATCAAATCCAAATTTACATCAAATGTTGATTTCAATCCCAAGAAATTTATACAAATAAAATATTAATAATAGAATAATTATCTTAGTACTTAAAATTTATAAATTTGTGCATGATATATAACATAATAGGTTCATATTTATGCATCCCGGGTATCGGATACCCTAAAATCAAAAGCCAAAACCGTCCCAAACCCTATAGGGTTTTAATCTAAAATCCCAAACCCTATAGGGTTTTGATAAATGGGTCCTATTAGGGTCAGGATAGGTCGGATACCTAAAAATTCCTATGAAATTTCCATCCCTATGCACGCCTGCGATGTGCTGTGAGGTGTGCTCTATGAGGAGCAGATCCGATCTTCATTTTGATACTCATCCAATGTCTCTAATAAATCAAGGCCCCAGTTCCCTTTTATTTTCCAAGTAAATAAGGTAATGACCATTTTAGCCATATAAATCCTTTATTAAAATGGGCATTTTTGTCTCATTCAAGTGCTGACAACTTTTCACTAACGTGTGAAAGTTATTTACCCACCTATGAAATGGGTAAATGATACTTGAGAAAATAAACTTTCCCTGGTCCCCACATAAATCTAAAGAAAGAACATGGGTTTCTTGGTTAATGGGAACCTGATGTAACAGTTTCTGGTCACGTATCATTTTTTCTTTGGCTAAGTACCTCGTCATCTCGTCTGCTCCCAAGTGGCCGATGACTTAGAGGCTGAAGTGGAGCTCCCTAGTGTTGCGCAACCCAGCTACTCCCTGTAGGAGATGATCTGCTCATCTTTGTAGACAGCGGGAACTGAGGAACCGATCCTCCCTACAGGAGATGATCTACTCATCTTTGTAGACGGCGGGAACTGAGGGACCTGCAAGAACTGAATCAGAGAACCCGGGGGTGTTTACCCGACGAGGTCACTCTGATGGCTAAGTCAGCGCTTAGTTGTGAGCTGAAAATGATATTAAAGAATGAGAGAGCTAGAGAGCAGGGGTTACCATCTCTTCCTCGCCCCTAGGGGGTGAGGCCTTTATATAATGGAGTCCTCGTGGGTTTGGTGGAGCAGTTCCTGGATTCCCGTTGTGATGGAACCTGCTTCCGTGTTAGGTGAGGATAAAGCCACCAACCGGTAAGGTTGACCATTTCCGCCTAAATCGGGGAGTGGGTGAGCTAATATAGCCATTACAAGTCACAATCCCGTAAAATGCGGGGTACGGTGGTGAGCTCCTCAGGGTTGTCATGCGATGGTCGGTTTGACTCGGAGGCGAGCTGCTCGTAAGTGGCGAGCTTCCTGTGGCGAGCTGCCTATGGCGAGCTGCCTAGTGGCGAGCTACCTGTGCAGTGCCGAGTTGTCTAAGTTGCCAGGCTACATGATGGTGAGCTGCCCGTGGCGAGCTCCCTGTAAGTGGCAATCTACTTGTGGCAAGCTGCCTATAAGTGGCGAGCTGTCTAGTTGTCATGAGGTTGCACTTAATTGTCATGAGGTGTCAAGTGTCATAATGTCATTGGAGGGCCAAATCCATCCTCATCATTTGCCCCCCACTCCCGAGCTAAAAGTAACTCGGCGAAGGGAGTAGATTTCTCCTTTTGGCCTGTAATTCGATGAGCTCGTAAGCACTGATTCAGTTCCTTAGGCTCTGGGAGCTGCTTGGAAGCGAGCTACCTGTAAAGTGCCGAGGTCTCTGCCAGTTCGGTACTGTAGCCCTTAGGCTCTGTTGGCAACTTATAGTCCACTTTTGTTGATTTTGTCCATGCCGAAGAGGCGATTGTGTCTTAAGTGTCCATGCCAAGGAGGCGACTGGGACTAACTCGCCCATGCCGAAGAGGCGACTGGGTCTTAAGTGTTCATGCCAAGGAGGCGACTAGGACTTGCTCGCCCATGCCGAAGAGGCGATTGGGTCTTATGTGTCCATGCCAAGGAGGCGACTGGGACTTGCTCGCCCATGCCGAAGAGGTGACTGGGTCTTAAGTGCCCATGCCAAGGAGGCAACTGGGACTTGCTCGCCCATGCCGAACAGGCGACTGGGTCTTAAGTGCCCATGCTGAGGAGGCGACTAGGACTAGCTCACCCATGCCGAAGAGGTGACTGGATCTTAAGTGCCCATGCCAAGGAGGCGACTAGGACTAGCTCACCCATGTCGAAGAGGTGACTGGATCTTTAGTGCCCATGCCAAGGAGGCGACTGGGACTAGCTCACCCATGCCGAATAGGCGGCTGCGTCTTAAGTGCCCATGCTGAGGAGGCGACTAGGACTAGCTCACCCATGCCGAAGAGGTGACTGGATCTTAAGTGCCCATGCCAAGGAGGCGACTGGGACTTGCTTGCCCATGCCGAAGATGCGACTGGGTCTTAAGTGCCCATGCCAAGGAGGCCACTGGGACTAGCTCGCCCATGCCAAAGAGGCGATTGGGACTAACTCACCCGTGCCGAAGAAGCACCTGGGTCTTAAGTGATGACGAAGTCTTTTATCAGTTCGTCAGTTCGTGCCTGGGCCAGGCTGCCAGGTCGGCGCATGTGCTAGGCTGCCAGGCCGCGCCTGGCCGCTGGGTGGGTGAAGGGAATGAAAGATCCATCGTATGGACGCCCAAATCTTGCGGAATAAGGTGAGCAAATTTCAAAAATTTCTCTCCCCTCAACTGGGAATCGCATTCCCTATTTTAGAAAAATCATATTTTCCTAGGATCAATCTTGAACCATGAATCGAACCAGATCCGAACAAAAGTAGTAGGAGAGGATTATACCTGATACGGAGAAATAATATCTCCCAACGAAGGTGTTTACGCCCAAGGATGGAGCAGAATCAGTAGTGTTCTCTCCAAAAACCTAATCCTTCGCAAGAAAAAGCAGGATGGCACGTGAGCACAATTTCCTATCAGTCCCTTCTCAAGGAACTGATATCAAGATCGAATCTTGATTTCTCCCACTAAACTGGAGGTCGAACTGGCAAATGAGGCGGCAATAGGAAGGAGGCGGCAAGAGAGAATTTTCGCAGGTGTGCTGAATTCTCTCTTTTGTGATTTCAGCTTTGAAGACAAGTGAAGGACTTGTGTTGTGTGTGTATCTCAAGGCTGCCGCCCCCCTCCTCCTTTTATATCCTTAAAGGGATCAGCTCCTAATCCCATTAGGTGTTGTTGATCCAAATCATATTTGGATTAAACTTCCCTTTAAGTGATAAGGGTAAACCCTTATCTTATCTGTAGATTGGATCAGCCTTCTCCTAATCTCATTAGGAGGTTTCTAGATCTGAATCACATTCAGATCTAGACTCTCTGAGTGGATAGGGTTAAGACCCAATCCTATATGCTAATCCAATCTCAGAATTCGCCCCTTATTCAACTGATTAAATTAGCCCAGTTCGAAATGGGCTTTAGGCCCATTAAGGTTATGTGCTCACTTAGCCTTCCTAACTACTGCCCAGTTGGGCTTCCTTGTATGGCGTGGGACCCAAACATTGATCTACACATCAGCCACATGGGTTCAGCCCAGCTTTGTCACAAGGCCTAGCCGAATACACTGTTATGGACAATGCACTCCTTGAAACCCATTACCCTAAGTGGTCCCTAGGCCAAGCCACCTTGTAACACCCAGGGACTGTGGGCAGATGCAAGATTAGCCCATCAGGTATTACCCTCAATGGTCTTACACTTAACMTCTCAGCCCATAATGATCAAATACTGCCCGACAAGAGAGGACCTCTCCCTCGGCTACAAGGAACAGTGTTGCATTCTCTTCTTATATGGATCCCGAGAATTAAAACCTTTTGCAAACATTTTGGAACCCATAATATATATACTTTTATATCTCATATAAAATATATTTTGCAAAACAAATCTCAACAATTGAAATCGGATGCCGGCAGTCTTGGTTTCCATCAAAGAGAGTGCATCCCCGATCGTTACCTTTGTCCGACAAAGGGGCTGATCCTGTCACTATGATCACCCACTCAGATGAATTCTCAGGCTATCCCAACATACCCAGGTTTTGACCCCCGCTAAGGATCTCACTGATTGGTACATCAAAGACAGCCCAATCC